TTATCATTTTATTAATTAGAATTGTGTGATTTTATAAAATATATAATTGAAGAAGACACAACCAAATGGGTTGTGACTTCTTGATAAGATGTGACTATTTCAAATTTTATGGTTACTAGGATTCATAAGATATTGAGTGTTCTAATGTTTAAAATTTTGAATACTCCGACTTAATTAATATTTGTAGATGGCTATGTTTTTCTTTCAAATATAGCTAATAGAGAGAGATTCTAAGTACATTTTGTAAGTATGTTGGCTCATATGTGATTTGTAGTGCAGTAGATAAATAAGCGTTTTTGAAGTGCCGCAAGTTGAAGAAGAAAATGGTATCGTATTGCGATGTGTTTGATGTGGTTGTAGAACTTTGTGGTATCAACTGAAAGAAGGATGGATTGGTTGTTGTAGTTGATGATGGTTGAAGCAATAAAATCTTAGTAGAGGTTGTATAAAACGTGACAAAGCTAAGCAACTTTGGAAGCAATTGTAGCCATGGCCATGCATTTTGCTTTTGTGCTTGAAAAGATAGTGGTTTTTAGTTAGATGGAGCTGTAGCTTATTGTGCTGTGGAAGAAGATAAAATAATAATTAGAAATAGAGTGCCTTTGATCAATGTCTCTAGTATAATTTGAATCATTGTAGCCAAAGAATGAATGTAAGTTAGGATTTTTAGTGCAACAATATTTAATATAATAGCCAAGGATATTGTTTAGATAATTAAATGCATATTTATATGCTCATATATAAATAAGCCTTGGATTATGTATATATTGTGCCAAGAAACTAATTGTGAATGCTAAATTAAGTGAAGTAGAGAAGTTGATCCAATTAACGAAACCAAGAACATTTGCATATGGAGAAGTGACACATTTAGCACTTGCTTTGATGGTTGTAGAGTAGTTTATAGCTAATAGCTTTATTCTAGGTACAATGGATGTTGATATAGGGTGAGAGTTGTAAAATTGAAATTCTAATAGTTTTAGTTGGATGGACAAGATCTATGTAATTGAGAGCTATCTTTGGTAGAAGTTACAAGCGATTTGTAGGTTGAGGAGGTAATAAGCTTTCTTAAGGTTGAGCAAAAGGAATCACTTCTGAATTTTTTTTTGATATGTTGTATCAAGGTAACGTTATTACATACAATAAGTGTATTGTTAATATATAAAGTAAGGATGGCAAATGTAAGAGCTTAATAGAAGAAGTATACATTGCCATCAACAATAGAGTTTACAAAACAATGAGTGGCCAAAAAACTATTAATGACTTTGTACCACTTATGAGGCAATTATTTTAGCTCATAGAAGGTTTTATAAAATCAACATACTATCCCTAGTTGCAAAAGTGAGATTCCTTTTTGGACTTGCATGTAGATTTTTTCATTGAGTAGGTTATTCAAAAATAATATTTTGACATCTATATGATATATGTGGAGGTTTTATTGGATAATAATAGTAAGTATAAGTTGCATCAATTGAATGTAGACTAAAAAAATAAAGATCTTATTGTAGTCAAGGCCAAGAGCCTAACTAAAATTATGTACTACTAGTCGTGCCTTGAAGCTATCAATTATTTCATTGGATTTTAGCTTAACTTTGAAGAGCTAGTAATATGTAATTGGATGACATATATAGAGGAGTTTGGTGAAGTACTTAGTATCATTGGCCATATGAGAATTAAATTCTTCTTCAATAGCATCATATCATTGAGTAATTTTGGAGGATTTCAAAGCATGTTGATAAGTATTAGATTTTAATAAGATAATTGAAAGATAAAATAAGAGTATTTATTTGATTTTGTTTGGTTTTATTTGTTTAGTAAAAGGTGGACCATAGACATGTCATAATTTTCTTCTAAAGCTGTTAGAAGAAGAACATCTTTATTTATTTAAGTAAATTTGCGGAGATAAAGAGAAGATGACAATGTCAATGGTCATTAGTCTTTTGGATCAAAGTTAGTAGTGATTTTTTGGTTTAGAAGTTGAATAGAAATTGAGTATGTTTGTCAATGTGAGGCATAATGTCCAAGTCAGATCTTGGATCAATATAGTATAGTAATATAGAAGAGGAGTCATATAGAAGTTATCCAAGAGGCCGCATCAGTCAACAATGTAGAGGATTTGACATAGATGTTCACTTTTTTGGCTAGAAGTAAATTGAAGTAGGATAAGAGTCAATAATAGAAGCATCTTATCATGGATTAAGAATTATATTAGTATATGAGAGATCAATGAACACCTTAAATTGGACAAGAGATATAAACACTATTCAAAGAAATACCTAAAGATGGTGAACATTGATACTGGTTGTACGATGCTAAGATGGTATCATCAAAACTGTATCAATGTTGATATTATATAATATTGATACTTATTGCAAAGCGGAAGTGGTATGATGCTTGATGAGAGGGATTAGTTTAGCCAATATTATGACAATGCTAGTGGTATGGTGAAATTGTTGTTTTTGCTATTAGGTGTTATTTATTTTGTTTAAGTTGATGAAGGTATGAAGATAAGGTGGGAAGTATTTATTTTGGAAGATGACATTGTAAGAGATGAGCATTTTTCTATTACTAATTTTTTGGAGCTTATATTTGTTATTCATAGAATTGTAGCCAAATCTAATGCATTCAATAAATTAATTATTAAATTTCATTCAAAGTTGAACATGTATTTTTATATAAATTATACTGTCAAACATCCTAAGATATAAAACATTGAGATTTTGTTGATATAAGAGTTTAAATGGTTTTTTATTAAAAAAAATGGCTTTGATGAAATATTAGTTCTTGAGATATATTATACACATAAAAGTTTCTGTCAAATACAATTTTGTGAGTTTGGCTTTATGGAACATATATTGGATTGTATTGAATAAGGTACAATTTTTTCTTTCTACCACCTAATTTTATTATAGAAATTATAATATTGTTAGTTGCAACTAGATTCTATGGATGGCTAAATATTCATCAAAGTCAAAGAAAAGGTATTATTTTCTTTGATCAGATTAAAAAGTTCTGAACTTGTGATCAATTTGGTTTTTAGCCTACACAAGAAAGATTCTAAACACACCAAAGCATTCACTATTGTGGTGTAATAGAAAAAATTGTCTATACATGTTATACAATATTCAAATGTGGAGAATGCGAGAGTAGCAATCCGATCATTGAAATTGATATAGACTACTTTAAGTCAATTAGAGGCTTAAAATATAGCCTTCTTAGAAAAATTTGTAGTAGCTTGCTTCTTGTAGATGCATATAGAGTAGATTTAGAATAGAACTTTATCAATAAGCAACCTTGTGACTGCACCATGTTAAATGAATTGATGAAGGTAGTGTGAGCCTAATTGCTAATACCACAAGTGAACTAGAGAGTTGATAGATGTGCTATTAACTCAACTAATAAAGAATTGGGATATGATTATGTTGAGTTATATGTTGGATTTTATTTCTTGAATTGGCGGCCAAGGACTAAGTTGTCAAGTAGGTTCTTTTATGTTGATGATAGAGTGATGGGAGTAGATCAATGGCCAAACTAGAGTGTCAAGTTTGGAGACCATATTGGAATATGCAAAGATACAAGAGGTAATGACCAAAGTGGTCTAGAATTAATTTGTGTCATCTTAACCATACAAGTATTGAGACAAATAGTAGATTGAAGAAGTCAATACTTGCTATAGTGTGTCAATAAATACACTTAATTAGCAAACTCTCTAAATTAGAATTTAATTTGAATATTCTAACCAAAGTAGAAAAAGATGTAGAGTATCATGTGTGATTGTGGATTTACTCTCAAAGTTGGCTACTAAAAGGGCATGGTAGGAAAATAGCCAACTAAGAATTTGGATTAGTGGCAAAGACCAATGTTAAGGTAAAAGAGGTTGGTTGTTCTTTTTGTTGTTTCCATGTTGTTAAGTTAAGTGTATCAATTCACATAGATCTTGGAGTTCATTGCCTTTGTGATTGTGTTGGCTTATGGAAGTTGTTGGATAGATTCTATTGTTATATTTAAAAAATATAAATTATTATTTATGAGACATTTGACAAGAGTTGAGTCATGAGTAGCTAGGAAATGACAAGTTTGATTTTTATGAAGATTCCACTATCTTAATGGTTATAATGACTAAGTGATTTTTTTTTTTATTTTATTTTTTTATTTTTGCAGATTTAGGATATAAATTGTATTGGTGAAACAAATGGTGTGTCCATTTATCATGCAAATTTCCACCTCTACTTATCTACATATAGAAAGAATAGTATTATTACTAAGATAGACTTTATGTTCTTAGAACTTATGATTCTAAGTTCTCAATTCTATCATTGATTTTATACTATATTGGAATTTTCTCAATTAAAGCAATTGAATACCATCATTTTTATTAATTAGAATTGTGTGGTTTTATAAAATATATTTTGTCTAAGAGGACACAACCAAATTTGACAACCAAACTCCTTGATGAGCAAGATGTGATTGTTTTGAGATTTACAATAACAAGGGTTCAGAAGATATTTGATGCAAATGCCTATTAATTGTTTGCATCATGATGACACCCTTAGGTGAGCTACTGTTGTTCCCTTTGCTAGCCATGATACTGCCAATTATAACTTTATAATTATAATGATTTCCACCATATTAAAATTATAATAATATAGCATTATATTTCCACCTTGTGATTGTCGACCCAGTTCTTCGATCGGGTTCAGATTCCGACTCTTCTAACCTACCAGCGCAGCGTGACGCTGATGGACGGGCGATCGTAGAAGCTGGTGGCTCTCTTGCTCTACAAATATCACCGTGCGACGAAAATTTCCGAAGACCCCGATCTGGTGTTCCTGATCTTTGTTAACAGTGTGATGTTCACGTCCATCGAGACCAGTCACTGCAAGTTGAGAGTCGGAGTTGTGACGCACTAGTACGCGCCGGTTATATCGCAGAAAATTCGAAGGTTCACACAACAAATGTGGTGCTAGATGACGGTGTTTTAACAATAAGATGTTCTTAATTGAAATAGTGATGTTCACAGCGTGTCATCACACGTGATGCAGCGGAACAGTTTATGATGAAAATAATGAACAATTTTCGAAGTTTCTCTTCAATCTTACACTCTTTGGATTATAACAAGACAATCCAGAAGAGGTTGGTTGAGAATCCTAAGCACTAAAATTCTGTCAAAAGACCTGATCGAATGTCGATCAGTCTTCTACTGATCACAAAAGAATCACAGTCCCACCTAAATAGAATGAATTAAAATAATTTTTTGTAGTAATATCTGAAAGTATTCATGCTAAATGAAATTGTTGTATTTGCACTCTGGCGGGAATGTAACATTGCCAGTTTTCCAATTTTTAAACCGTAGGTCGTCTTTGCAGTAGTTGTAGATCACATAGTCCCGAGAATGGCTATTCAGCTCTTCTATCTGCTTCGTAGTAAGCGAATCCTGCGCGTTCCACGAATAACTATCGGAGTTGCATTGGGAAAGGTCAGGGTTGATGCAGTTCGGTGATGGGTCTGTAAACGGATTTGTGGGACAAGCGAAGCAACCGTCTACACCGCCGAATCCCTCATATTGCAGCACAAAAGGAACGTGGCTGATGTTGAGCTCCTCCTTACCTCCCTGTGTGGCCCAACTGCTTCCATTCCACAGACTGGCAAGCACCGACATGGGTCTGACAAGGGGAAACGGCACGTCCGGCTTGTTGTGGTGGACACGTATTACCTTGTCATCAACGTACCATCTGCATCCACAATCACAAGTTACTGACTTCATTCTGACATGCTAGTGGGATTTGAGAACAGTTGCTGATTTTGACAATCGAGGCACTTACATGATGATGTGTTTGTTCCAGAGGAGGGAATACTTGTGGAAATCCGCCGCCGGATCGAATTGCAAGTAGTGACGTACTTCGCGACCTCCTTTGCCGTTCAAATAAAGATTTGTTTGAAGAGTGATTGGCTCTCCAGTGACGTTACCAAGAAATTCAAAGTCCATCTCATCGTGAGTGTCCTTGGACTTTCCATTTTCATCCACGTTGGTATGATTCTCCGGGGACGAAAACTGAGTAAGACATAAATCAACTTGCTAATGTCAAGCACTTTCATTGCAAAACACCACAATTCAATTAATCCTAGTTAATCGAGTGCATAGAATATCGTTTAGTCGGGCACTCACGTAGTAGGACATGACGAGACCGGCTGAGTCATTGGGAATCAGTTTCAAGTACATGCTCCAGAACCCGAAGACGAACCGATTCTTTGAAAGGAAGTGGCCAACTGCAAAACACAAGCCCGAATCAGTCTACGTACTCTTGACAATTCAGAGCTTCGAAGTTCGATGTTGCGTCGTTAGTTAAGTATAATGCAAAAGTAAGCTCTTGGTTTGTCACTTACAGATTTGATATGTACTGGTTATCTTCATGTCAACGTGCATCTGATCATCAGAGATGACTAAGCCACCGGGAGGATCTTTTGGAGTCCAATTGTTCATGTAGTGCATGTCCCAAGGGGCTAAATCCCATGGCTTGGATAGCCTAGGTGGTGGAGGGGGCGGTGATGGAGGTGGAGGCGGAGGCGGTGGAGGTGGAGGATTTGCCACAGCAGGGGGAGATGGAACTTGGGCAGCAACAGCATGGACGAAGTCTTTGCGCAATGAAGATGGAGATGTGTTCCAAATTGCATGGCTAAATCCATTAACTACTCCATTGTGATTTGATTGGTACTCAAAAGCATTGATAACAGTAGGAAATAACGTAACAGCTACAGCAGCCACCACCGACATAAACAGGATCTTCATCGCTGGCCAACCCACCAGCGCCATCTGGTCGAGTTTGTGTTGCACCTCCTTAACCACCTCTGGTTGCTGACAGGAGCCGCTCTCTCCGCAGTTAAACTATCACAATAGCCTACAAAATTGCCAAAACTATGTAAGCCTCATTGTACATTATATCAACACATTATAGTAATACATACTATTCACAAAAATTTACTATCCAACATTATGGGTCAGCTTTCATAGCGCAATTTTATTTGGCTTCTTTGATGTGCATAGCTGACCCTGGATGTGTTCTTCTGAGTTTGAAATATGATTCAGTTTGTATGTAATCCTAGTTAGATAGTGTAAGTTCCTCACATAGGGCCGGTCGGTACCATACCTCATGTATATGGCTCATGCACTGGAACTTGTCTTGTTGTGACGATTAATACACTCGGGTACGGGCAGTGTGACTTGGATGAGTATTTAAGAAATACTGAAAACCTCCACAATTCTTTGTTGTGTACAATCAAGCTGTCTGTATGTATGATGTACCTTGATAATCGGATGCTAAGTTGTGATTCAGCACACTTGTACATATCACATCACAGTATGTAGTCCTTGATTGTCTGCAAAACACTGAAACAGGCAAATGCAAAAGTGAGACCCACAGCAACGTCCAGGGAAAAAAATTACTTGCCAGCACATTAACAAGTGAAGTAGGTATTCTAATTCGACTGGATATAAATGCTAGATATAATCAATACCTCTCATTTGCGATTTAGAGCGGGAATCCCTTCATGAGTATACCTTATTGGAAAGAACAAGTTTATATGAGCATTTGTTCCGGTTGGACGTTACATCTATTGAATTAAATCTAACTCCATTTTCAGTAACACTGGTTTCTGTACAATCCATTGTACATCTTATCTAGATTTGAATAGGAATGGGTTGCGTGCACGAATGGCTCTACTCTTTGCCAGATGCAAAAGAGCACTCTAAGGAATATCATCTATAAAATGCGAAACTCGTCAGTAAACCACTCTATTCCGCCACAAAAAGAACACATTTTCTCACATCAAAAAAGCCTGTTAAGCTAGGCAAGCTCCCTCACTAACTTGTACTGGATCTGTCAATAACTGGCATCCTTTCGGCTCCCAAAGGTTCACTACTAGAAAATGTTGTCCTAATGCAGACTGATACTACAGCTCGTGCTCAAGTAGGCGTACCGCAAGAACTTCAGTACATTGCAAGCATCAATATCAGTTTAAGCGGAACGTGAAGCATGCATCAAAGGAAAGAAAATGTATATCTTCTATTTAAGATTCTAAGATCGCACATTCTTCATCCCCTACTTATAGGTGAAGTAACTTTTCGAGGACTCCAAGTCACAAAACTTCGATTCTGAGAAAACACTTATACATTTTTTTTATAAAGATCGTCAGACGCCAAGTTCAAACTCGACGCATGGATCTTTGCTACTGTAACATTAAAAACCCAACTTACTCACTATCAGAAACATAAGCAATCGTTGCTTGATGGCGAATACTGGAAAAGTTGAATCAGGAGTTGCTTTCCGTTGCTACATCATACACAATCTTCGAATCAGAACTCGAAGCTGCAGCAACCGTTTTGGCAAACTCCAGCCTGCGCGAGCCCCACTGACGATACAGACCAAATCTTTCTGACACGCATGGGAGTCTGAAGATGTCAATAAGCTGTCACCCCATGATCATTGAAACCCGCTGTTGATTTCCACAGCACCTAGTGCCAAGCTCCTCTTCTGCTCAGAAGAGTACAACATCAAACTCTAGAATGCAAAGCAGCCATACATGCAGATCGAAGCTGGGCGGATTCGCCTTGACTGAGTGAATTGAGCAAGCGTTGTGTGAAGAGGCGGCCACATGGTTACAGTGATTGAAGGCTAGTTTTTAATATCGTATCGGTAGCTGGACAACTCACCTAAGACGATCATTCTCTACAGTCCTTCCCAGTCAATGTGACGAAAGGAGCAACAAAACTTAAATGAGAACCCCAAGTCCACTGACCAATAGTTATTATAAGAAAACGCACACTAATACACAGCAAACTAATACACAGAATATATTTTCGTCCCTGTGCATACCCCCGCAGTGGTAGGCAGATTATAAAAATTCTTGAAGATAAATCCTCTAACTTTTTTTGTATTTTATCTTTGTCTTTGGTGTGGAGAATTAGGCGGTTTACGCGTTACCAATAACCGTTGAAGAAAGATGGTTTCTAAAGAACATTATATAATCAGAAACTGCCTCACGTGTGTGACTATCAGTTTTCATAGGGAATGAATCCACATGGGAGCTTGTCCCTGCACTGTCGGTCTGACATGGCTGACCTGGGCAAACCCTAAATGACGATTCCGGTGTAGCCACCTGCCAGCTTGTCTCTGTATCCTGTAATTCGATTATTGTATTATTTATTATTTACCAAGGGAATATCTTTACACATTTCATCTACTTCAATCTACTTATTTTAGAAGTGGTTAGGCTTATTTAAAGATAGGTAGCATTTAAAGATTCATGCCTCTTACAATATGTCTTCTTTATGAAATAAGTTGATGGTTGACTTTGGATACCAAAACTTTTGCATAAATAAATGACTCCATAAAGTTACTATAAAAAGAAGCACTTAATATAAATAACTTCACAAATGACCAAAAAAATGTACTGCTATTATTTAAGAAAATCTAAATAATAAAATTTAAAATGTATATTTTTAAAAAATCACTCTAATCAATTTTGCATAAAGTTTATAGAGGAATAAGTATCCAACTAGTATTTGGTATTAGATGAATTAAAAAATCATATTACTAACTATACCAAAAATAAATCATTAAAAAAAATTCTTCAATTATCCAAGAATATATATTTTTTATTTCTTTTAGTTAGATTTTTTTATTTTTTAATGCTTTTATTTAAAAAATCCTAAAATCTAAATCTCTATTGCAAACATTTTTAAGACAATTCAACAATCAATCGTATTTTGTTAAATTTTCTTCATAATGCAAGACAGCTACTCTAAAACTATTACTAGTGACATGCATTGATGATAATCAAATGTGATAAAAAAGTGTAAATACAAATTTACATATTTTGTAAAATTATTTTATAGGAGATTCAATTTTTAAGGAGAAGAATTTGAAAGAAGATAAATAAAATAAATTAAAAACTATGTTGAAGATAACAAAAGAAAATTAATAAATATATGTATTCTACCAGAAAGTAGAATGACTATTATAAGAAGATTGGAGATTCTTAAAACTAGATTCAAAAGAAAAAAGGCATTGACAAGATTAAAGAAGATATTACTCTTGCATCCATATAAACTATCTAATTTAAGAATTACAAGGCAACATCCTATTGTCATCTAATACGTTTCCAATTTGTGGAATAAATATCTAACTTCCAAAGTTTTTAACATTTGTGTCATGTTGCCATATTGTAAAACAAGTGGTCAACATCTCAAACATGTGGCCAATATGTGCAACATGTGGCCAACTTGTAAAATAAGTAGTTAGCATCTCAAATACATAGCCAACTTATTTGCTAAGTTTTTGATCTATCATTCATGCATCTATGGAGCTTGTAAAAAGATTCTTATCAAGACATTATCAAATTGACTTACTTTATTATACTTCTACTTAACTTCTCTTATCTTCTTAATTACTAATATCAATATTGATATTTGTGACCTTATCCTTATTTATAGAGACAAATTATATAAGGAATAATGATCGCATGTTAAAGAAATTCAAGATGTGGTAAATTATATTTGTTGCATATTTTGATCTTTGTTATCTTTGAAGGTAGTTGGTAGGTATTCTCAACTATCAATAATATCTCATATTAAGTCAAACATCACCATGTTATTTAATTATTGTTAAGACCTTCATGACTTTTTAAAAATAAAATATTATTTTTTTATATTAAGAGTGGTTCTTTATTTCAATAGTATCACTAAATATTAAGAGTCTCTTTTAAGATTGTGATATCAAACATGTTGTATCTTACCATCTATTTGAAGAAGAATATATTTTTTTAATGAAGAATATAAAATACACTAAATTAATTTGTATGTCATCTTTTTCTAAATATATGTACTAAGAAAATGTTAGTATTGCCAATGAACACCAAAGATACTAAGGCATACTTCTGTGGCTTTTAAATTAAAATTTTAAAAAATAAATTATAAAACTTTAGAGCAAAATCAATTACTTGATTCAAAGTTTGAAGATTAAGTAACTTTAATATTAATTCTTTTACTTTATATTCCAATTCATAAAAAATTGGCTAATAATTGTAGCATCATCCAATTTAATATTGATTCAATATTATTAAAATTATGAAGCATATAATAATATTAATAAATTTCTTTAATATAATATATAAATTTTATTAGTCATAATACAAATTACATCATGTTTTCTATATATACAATAAAATTTTGTTAATTTTTTTAACATTGAATCATATTATTTTAGAAAGATGAAAGTTATAATTAAAAAAATTAAAAATAATGTTTCAATAAACCTAACTTGTAATTAAGAAATTAAATAGATTTGAGATTGAATTTTAATGACTAATTATACTTTATAGATAAATTATTAAAACTTTAATCTTGTACTTTTAAACTTCTCAAGCAAAACAATACTTGGTTCTTTAATACTAGCACTAGTGCTTGAAGAATGTTCTATTATTTAAAAAATAACATGATTTGATATAGATATTGAAGTAGCTCCAATTGTCTTAGCATCTTCACTTGCAATCAATTTTATTGCTTCTTATAGTGGTAAATTGAATTGATGTATTGCAAG